TGTCTATTAAATAGGAAGAAGGAAAGAACCGCCTGAACTCAGTTGTTTGGAACACTGCCTCCTTGCTGATTTAATAGCACAGGGAATTGATTTGTTCCCAAGAATGGTAGACGGTACCCTCTGTTCCACTGGGCAAATGGGACTCTCCAGGCCTCTCTGTTCCCTTCTCCCCTGAGAGGGAAACAGCGTAGGGCACTGGTCACCCTTCCTCCTGCCCACCGCCCTCACCCCTTTTTCCTCTCCCTCAGGGTTGGGCCTCTCGCTGCCCTCGCTGCTGCCCACTCTGCGACTGTGCCTGTGCATGCCAACTTCCTGACTGCCAGAGCCTCAACTGTCTCTGCTTTGAGATCAAGCTCCGATGAGGACCCGGAGTCCTTGCCCTTTGGGGAGCGGCCAACCTCCTGGGCCCACATGTCCCTTTCCCTGAGGGGCCACTGGACACCTTTCTCTAGGCCACTGGAACCACAAATGGCCTGCCCAGCTCATCAGCCCGGGAACCAGCTGTGGAGAGCCTGGCTTCCTGCAGAGCAGGACTCAGAGAGCCCTTGGCCCGCTGGACTGCAACCCCTTTGGGGGGCCAGGAGGGAGAGGGGCTAGTGCTCTGGCAGGTGCCCCTCCCCGCCTCTCCTCCTCCCCACATAAACTGTTAAAATTGAAGGTGAGGGTGGGAGACACTGCTCACCACAGACCACATTATGGGACAAACTTGAGCCTTGAGCGTCAGGATATAGGGGTACCACAACCACACCTTGTCCACGGACTCTTGGTTATTTTGAGGTGAGTGTAGTGCCTGCAGCTGCTCTCCCGCCAAAAGCTTGGTCTCCTGAGAATCACAACAGCCATCATCAGGGCCCAGAGGGGAGGGGGTTGAGAAGGAGGCAGAGAGGGCCACAGATCTGAGTCCCCTTTCCTCTCCTTCCCTCCCCACAGATCCCTGGCAAAGATTGATTTCTCTTGACAACCTTTGAGGGCCTCAGGCTGGATTTCCAAGGAAGAAATTTCCTCAGATGGACGGGTGAGTGGGCAGGGGCCCTCCCCCTGCCCCCCAACTAGGGCAGGCCCAGAGCTTCCTCCCCCTTCTCTCACTTTAGGCCCCACGCTGGCCTGAATGTCAGGGGCTTCAGGTTTCCCTAAATATAGGACCCTGCCAGGGGATCCGTGGCAAGGAAAGGGCAGGGGTCACCGGAGAAGGTTGGGGACATTGGCTGGGGGGAGGGCAGGAGCTGCCTTATAACCCAGCCCAGGAGCGGCCTGGCTCACTCGCTGCTGACCAGGCTCTGCCCGCTCCTTCAACCTCCTCGCAGGTGGGCGCCAGCAGGACGCTGCAGGGTTGGGGTTGGGCCTAAGGGGTCCAGATTAAGAGGGGAGGCTTGGCTGGTAGGATGAGGGACTCGGAATGTATCTGGGGGCTGACCGGCTAGGGACAGGTTTGAGTCTGGAGGGGGAAGTCAGGTCCCAGGGAGATGTTTGCGCGGGGACTCTGGCGCTGCATCTCCAGACTCGCTGGGGCGAGCGGCGGCCGGCCGGTTCCGCCGCAGTCTGGCTGTGGATGGCGGCGGGGGCCGCAGGCGGGTCCGCGCCAGCCCGGGCGGAGAGGGCGTGCGCACGCACGGCGAGGCCGGTCCCCCGCGGCCGCGAGCCCGACCCGGGCAGCTGGGGCGCCTACACCGGCGCGGCCCGGATTACCAGACGGCTGCTAACGCGCCGACCCTCCACCCCCCCCCCCCCCCGCCGTGCCGCCGCCCTGTCGTGTTCCTCCCGGGGCAGCCACTCGCCGCCCTTTCCCCCCCGCCGCTCTTCCGCCTGGGCTGGTGACCCAGGGAGGGGCGGCCCCGCGCGCCAGAGCCCGCAAGTCGAGCCTGCAGGGGTAGCAGGCAGGACGCCCAACCTCCGGGTTCTGTCAGTGTGACAGCTGCATCAGCGCAGGGCCGGAGAAGCTGGGAGACTGCCCGCGTGGCCGGCTGGACCCTGTAACCGTAGGGGGCTGATCCTTTCAGGCTCTTGCGCCATTGCCTTGCTCCCCCCACTGCTCCCTTCCCGCCATCTCCTCCGGGGCCCCCCTAATCGGCTGAGTCACGGCTCCCCTCAGAACCGCCCGCCAACTGGGGAGAAAGGGAGAGGGGAGTCCGGGGGTGGAGAGAACCCAGCAACCCGGAAGATGTGGCCCAGTCAGTCCAGGGGGGCGGGGGGTGAGGGGGGGAGCAGATCGTGTTCTCTAGCGCTCGCCCCAAGACGCCGCCTCCGCTTGCCTTTCGGGGCAGTCTCACCTGGTCCCTTCTCTCCCTCAATTGGACGCCAGCCTCTCCGCCACCCCCTTCAGGGAAATCAGTCGGAGGCTGGCGCGGTGCTATAAGCCCAGCGCCCACCTCTGCTTCCCGCCCCTGCGCTGCCCCTCCCTGGAGCTGAGTGGCTGCGTTCCCTTGAACGCGCGCAGACAGGGCTCGGTGGCGACTGCCGCGTTCTGCTCCGGTCCGCTCGCCGGCCCCGTCGCCCCACCGCCGCACCCCTGAAGCCCGCCCCCCTCCCGTGCCAGGTGATCTCCCCTCGCTGTGTGCGAAAGGCCAGGGGACCCTGGAAGGATCCTGGGGCAGGGCCATCGGGTCGGGAGGCCCACTCCCCTCCCCCCGTCCCGTCAGCCTCCCCCGCCCCACTACCTCCCAGCCTACTGCTCCCAGCCCGACTCTCAACCCTCTTCATGCGAGTTTCCTGGTTGTCTGCGCATGCAGCGACTACGCGCGCTGAGTCATGGCGGAGGAGAAGCAGGACAGATGAAGAGGCCATTCCTTTCTCCTTTTCTGTGGGATCCCAGTGCAAAAGGCCCATTCGCCTCTGCAGGATCCTAAGAGGCAGCGAGGGGGTGGGGAGGCCGAAGCCGACCTAGGGTTTCAAAGCGTGTTGGTCCCTGCCCTCGGGAGGTGGGACCACCCCTGGGAGGAGAAACCCCTTGGCCAGGCGTGCTGCTCAGTTAACACTTTCCGTGCCTTTACTTATCCGCTGTGACTTGTGAGCCCTGGGAACAGCCTGCAGCTGTGCGGGCAGAAGGACATTTTCAGGGAAGGGTGGGGCCGCTCGCCTCTCTACAATTCTCAATACTGTATGAGCAACCTGAATCGGTAAACCTACCCTGTTCCTCCCCTTGGGCTGGAGCTTCCTCTCTGTTCCCTCGGGCTTCCCGTTACCCCTCCTGCCCTTTTTTTCTAACAGCCTTTTCCTAAGGCCCTCCCAGTACCCTGGGAGGAGACTGACCCTTGATGTCCTGAGGAGCTTTACTGAGCCTGGGCTGGCCCTGGAATCTGGTGGATCCCAGGGTAGCAGTCAGAAGATCTGGGTTCTAGTCTCAGCTCTGGCCTGGTTTCTGTGGGACCGAAGCCCAAAGTTTCCCTTCTCTGGATCCTTCTGTTGGGCCCTGCCTGATGTGCGACTCTCTAGTTCTAAAAATACATCTCCCTGGTCTCTCACGAAGTGGCAGGACCCTGGCAGGCAGCAGCCAGAAGGGTCCAGCTTCACATGACCTGTCTTTCCATGTCTCTGGTCATTGTTACCAGATCGCCAGACGCAACCCCACCCAGGTGGGAAGCACCCACAACAAACAAAGGTTAGGAAGGTACAGGGAGGCAGGCCCTGAGCTACAGGGGAAGTTGGGTGTGGGAGTTTGGGCCAGTGAAGTGCCCCAAGACCTGCCAGTGTGGGAACTAGGGAGGTAGAACCTTTGTCCTGACCTCCAGGCAGGGGCCTGCTTGTGGGGAGACCATGAGGAACCAGCCCCATACTTCATCTCCCTGTTTCTGCCTCCTTTGGCCAGAACCTGACGCACCTGCCTGGGCTCAACCCAGCTGCTACCCCAGAGGTGTGAAGAAGGGCTCTCTGACACGCTCACCGCATTGTGGCTCGGCAAGTGATCCTGGCTGCAGATGGTCCACTGGTGCGGAGCAGGACCAGTGGGAGGAGGCACCCAGGGTGAGTTGAAGCTGATCCTCTTATTTCACTGATGTCCCCTAGGAGCATTTGTGCGCTGCAGTCCATGGACTGTGAACACGGGGGAGAACCGGCTTCTACAGCCAGCTCAATGTGACTGCCAGCATTCCGACCTGCATGAATCCCCTGCATTGGGGGTGTCATCCTTCTTCCATGAACACTGTACCAGAAGAGCGGATTCATGGCCAGCCTTTCCCCCAAGTCATCAAATCCAAGAAATGGGTGTGGCATCAGTGAGGGGTGGCGTCAGGATATGAGATGATTCGGACGAAACAGAGTGGTCGGCGGGGTGAGGGTGGACATTGCGTGGGAACTGCCTGGAGAGCGTGAGTGGAGTCTGCCCAGGCCACCAACCAGCTTGAAAAAGCCAGAAACGTATGGGAACTGCTTGGCTTTTTCTTTTCTTTTTTAATATTTTTAGTTAAGTAATTCTATACCGATTGGGAGCTTGGAACTCACAACCCCAAGATCGATATGCTCCCCGACTGAGCTTCAGAGACGGTACCCTGCCTGGCACTTTTTCATCTCTATAACTCACAGAGCAAGGCGTCCCCTTACAGACTAAGACCCAGAAGTCAAGGCAGTGAAGTGTTTGGCCTGTAGAGCAGTAAGTGTGGCAGTCCAGGTTTTGTCCAGTAACCTCCTGATCTTCCTTCCTAGGCCCAGGTATTGTAACTAACTGAAAACATTTGCAAACCGTGAGGTATCACTTAAGATTAAGTAAAGCTGAGGTACTGGTGGCGCGCGGTTCGGTTCGCTCCTGACTCCAGCCAGGTCACGCGATCTCATGGTATTGAGTTCGAGCCCCTGTAGCTCTGGCTGATGGCTCGAACCTGGAGCCTACTTCACGATTCTGTGTCTCCCTCTCTCTCTGCCCCTCCCCCTCTCTCTGCCCCTCCCCCGTTCATGCTCTGTCTCTCTCTGTCCCAAAAATAAATAAAAAACGTTGAAAAAAAAAAAATTTTAAAAAAGATTAAGTAAAGTGAGGGGCAGAGTGGAGTACTAGAGGTCACTCCTCCTATCTTATGTTGTTGCTGCCCCCCCCACCCCAACAGGTGGACAAGGGTGTGGTACCCCTGGCAGGAACGAACGGCGAGACTACCACCCAAGGTGAGAACCGTTGCCTGCCCTACAGACTGACTCACCCAGGCCACCAGCCCTCTGGGTGCCGAGGTTGAGTGGGGAGCCGCCTGCCCCCTCCTCTGCTGTGCTCTGACGATTCTGTTCCCTCTCCAGGGCTGGATGGGCTGTCTGAGCGCTGTGCCCAGTACAAGAAGGACGGAGCCGACTTTGCCAAGTGGCGCTGTGTGCTGAAGATTGGGGAACACACCCCCTCAGCCCTTGCCATCATGGAAAACGCCAACGTGCTGGCCCGTTATGCCAGCATCTGCCAGCAGGTGGGCCTCCAGTTCCCCAGCAGGCCACCTCCTACCTCATTTGGTTCCAGAGTGTCAGCTAGCCTGCCACCCATCTGCCAGTATACGTACCTCCCCCAGCGCAGTTGTTCTGGATCTTCCCCAAGCATCAGGCTCAGGCCTGTGGAGGACACTCGGGGGTTCTGTGAGCAGAGGAGCAGAATAGGGATTGTGTGGGTGTCTTGGAGGAGATGCCTGTTCCCTACAGTCTGCTGAGGGCCGTGAGGCCATGAGTCTCTGTCATCATGGAGATAAGATCTTGGCTGATAGCTGTGGAGAGCTATGGGTGGGCTTCAGCTTAGAAGGCCTCATGGCCACCCTGTCCCTCACCCCACAGAATGGCATCGTGCCCATCGTGGAGCCCGAGATCCTCCCTGATGGGGACCATGACTTGAAGCGCTGTCAGTACGTAACCGAGAAGGTAAGTTCCCTGCCTGCCTGGGCAGTGTGGTGGATAGGCGACTGGGCCAAGGGCTGTAGGACTGACCCCTGTTCCCCCCGCCTCGATCGCAACCGACTTTGGCCCTGCTCTGCTCTAGGTGCTGGCTGCTGTCTACAAGGCTCTGAGTGACCACCACATCTACCTGGAAGGCACTTTGCTGAAGCCCAATATGGTAACCCCAGGCCACGCCTGCACCCATAAATACTCTCATGAGGAGATTGCCATGGCAACTGTCACAGCTCTGCGCCGCACGGTGCCCCCCGCTGTCACTGGTGAGACCCACATCCTCATCTTGACCTCTGGGAGGTAGATGAACTGTGCCCACAATCTTTACGCCCATTTGGTCTGACTTCCAGCTCAGCTTCTAGGGGCTCCTACCAAGCCCTGAGTCTCTGACTATATCTGCTTCCCCCCCTTCACCCCTTGTTCTACAGGGATCACCTTCCTGTCTGGAGGCCAGAGTGAGGAGGAGGCATCCATCAACCTCAACGCCATCAACAAATGCCCCCTGCTGAAGCCGTGGGCCCTGACCTTCTCCTATGGCCGAGCCCTGCAGGCTTCTGCCCTGAAGGCCTGGGGTGGAAAGAAGGAGAACCTGAAGGCTGCCCAGGAGGAGTATGTCAAGCGAGCCCTGGTAAGGATGGGGGCAAGAGGCGGGCGGGGTGCCGGGGCGGACGGGATTCTGATGAGACCTCACTCTGGCTCCTCTCCCCTCTTAGGCCAACAGCCTCGCTTGCCAAGGAAAGTACACCCCAAGTGGTCAGGCTGGGGCTGCAGCCAGCGAGTCTCTCTTCATCTCTAACCATGCCTACTAAGTGGAGATGTCCTAAGGCTGCCCCCTCAACACTCCAGGCCCCGTCCCCTCCCACACTCACTCTGGAGGAGGGGACTTCACCCAGGGCTCCAGGCTGCTCTTTCCCATCACTTTTGCCTCCCATGTGACATTGGTGTGTGGTGTTGTCTGTATATGCTAACTCCACTGCTCTTTCCAGCCCACTGCCAATAAACATCTATTTAAGGGGGAGTGTGCCGTCCGTGTCTGGTGTTCAGGACCGGGGAGGGCCAGGGGAGGTGGCAGAGCCTAGAAGAAGAAAGATCCCTTGTTTCCTGTTCTTCCTTCCTGGGCAGGAGAAAGGTGAATGGGTTGGGAGAGGACCTTCCTGCTTTGTTTTATGCTTGCCCAGGGCTTCAAGAGGAGAGCTCGTGAAATTTTCTCCCTACCATCAAGCTCCCCATCTGCTTTTACCAGCAGCACCTGATAAGGCTCACAGTTGGGGGGAGTATGTGTTAGGCTCATCTCACTTTTAGACCCAGAACTCACAGGTGCACAAGGCCCCTGTGACAAAAACAGCCACTAACCTAAGCCAACATTTCCTGAGTGGTATGAGCCAGGTGACAACGACACGACACCACGCAAGTGATCTGTATGAGTGGGTGTTGTTATTCCCATCTCCCGCTTAAGTCCGTGCTGCCTGAGGTTGCACTTTTTTGATGAAGACAAGATTATTAATGCCTATGTCCTTAATCTGTACTGTTGAGCTTGTCTGTTTTCCCATCTCAACAGGAGATGGGATTAGAACTGGTTTCTTAATTAATCTTCCTTGGACCATGGAACCGCCTGAAGAACCTGGAATTTATTCCAACAACCCCCCTCAACAACACAGATTGTTCAGCCCCCTCAACAACACAGGGCGCAGGTTCCAGGTTAAGAACTGGGCCAAAGTAGCTGCTGCGTTCCGTGAAGCCAGAATGAAGGCCCCGTACTTAATGCCTCTGCCACACCTTGAACCCTTTCCCAGTCACCCAGGTTGGGCTGTAGCAGTAACTGCATCAGGTCTCTTGAGCTGTTAAAGGCCCTAGCTCTAACCAGGGATCTTAGTGAGTCCTGCCACTTCCTGAATTTCCCTCTGGGCCCTTTACTGTCTGAGCTCCCTTCTGGAGGGAAAAAAATAACCTTGACTTTTGTGATCTCTCTGGACCTACTGAATTCCTGTAGTGATGTGCATAGAACTGACTTAACCTAGGACTTTTTAGGAGTTTAAGAACTTGGTCATTTCCTTCAGTGCACATCTGCATCTATTACCTACATACAAAACCAACCCCACTCCCAGTGCCTCTCTAAACTTTGGCCTCGCTTCTGTGCCTAGCCTCACTCAATTCTCTGAAACAAAGTCTTAAGGAAAGCAAATAAAAATTGAAGGTCAACAGAAGATAGCAAAAAGGAGTTTTCAAAAGGGAGCAGCATGTGCAAAGTCTCAGACACCAAGTATGCTCACAGACCAGTCACTTCCCCAAATACCAGTGGTGGGGGTGGGGGTGGGCTTTTTATACTAACGGTGAAATCCAAATTCCAGAACGTGTGATAGGTGGAGATACTAGAACTGATTCCTTTAAAAAAAAAAAAAAAAAAAAAAAAGGAATAAAACTTGCAGGCAACAGGAAGCAACTGAAGGGTGTCGGGGGGTACTGTTCTGGAATTGGGGAGGTCATTTTGACTGAGGCCCAGACTCGGTGTGGGCAAGGTGGACTCCTTTCTGCCTCTAACTTCGGAGGTCCTCTACGGCAGAGATTTCTCTGGGGCCACGGAAAGAGATTTGGACAGGATTCTTCCAGCCACTGAACAAATGTTTAGGTATGCCTACTGTGCCAGGCCTCGTTCTAAGCACCAGGGCTGCAAGGGTGACCCTCAGGGATGGGTAGGCCGACTCAAACAGGTAAATAAAAGCGTGTCACAAAATTACACGGCGGCCCCGCGGCTCAGCTTGCTTCCCTAACGGAGATGGGAGTGGGGCGGACTGAGGTGTCCATCAGCTCGCAAGAGGCGGTTCCGCCGGGCCCCCGGTGACCTCCGCCCGCACGCTGCCCACATCCGCTTCCTTCGGCTCATCCCTACTCCTCTGCTCCGAGAGGTGGGGGTAAGGGCGCGGCGCGCGAGGGGGAAGGTGTGTATGACGCCACATCCGGCGCGCGACGGAACTGGTCTCCCTTTGCTTCCGCGGCGGGGCCGGAAGTAGAAGCGGCGGTGGCGGCGGCCCAAAGCGGAGGGAAGGAGGAAGGCAGGCAGGGAGTCCGGGAGCCGGGGCCGGAGTCGCGGCGGCGGTAATAGGCTGAGACCCCTCTAGGCCACCGTCCCGAGCGCGGGATCGCGGGGTTCGGCGGGAGTTAGCGGGGAGCGGCCAGGACCGTGGGACGCTGGGGGTCCCGGGGCCGATGTGAGGGGAGGCGGGGAGGGGGGGGGGCGGGCCAGCTCCAGAATTTAGTTGCCTCCCCACCCCCACCCCCCCGCTCCCCCTACGGACGCTCTGATCCACGGACTCGTCTTCTCGTTCCTCAGGAGACCCCTGTGCGGTGCGGAGGGGGCGGCGGCCCCGGCTCTGACCCGCGCCGGGGGCGGGTGGTGGGCCATGGCGGAGATCAGCGACCTGGACCGGCAGATCGAGCAACTGCGGCGCTGCGAGCTCATCAAAGAGAGCGAAGTCAAGGCCCTGTGCGCTAAGGCCAGGTGAGCCTGGTGGCCCCGCTGCCCAAGGGGGTTCCGGTCTGGGGCAAAGCCAGTGAGAACTTGGGGCCTGGATCATCCTGGCATCTTTCCCAGAGAGGAGCAGAATAGGGCCACTTCCCTCGAGCAACCAGCCTGTTGGGAGAAGACAGACCTGGATAAAGACACCGAAAGTATGAAGTGACGCGTTTTCAGTGGCGTTAGAGAGTCATAAGATACTTAGGAAGCTCACGGAAACAACTTTACCTGCCGGAGGAACAGAGGTTTCTTGGAGGAACTGAACTTTGGGGATAAGCCCAACCCTTGAGTTCTGTGGGAAGTAGGATGATGTAGTGGTTAGGAGCTCAGGCTTTGGAATGTGATGGTTCTAGGTTGGGAGGTGAGCTCTGCCACTTACTGGCTGTGTTGGTGATCTTGAGGTCCCTGACAGTTTCTTCATTTGTAGACTGGGGATAATAGTACTTACTATGATGGCTGTGACGGGTCAGTAAGTTGGTGCGTGGGGTGGGCTTAGCATAGTTCCTTGGTACAACGTAAGTGCTCACTAATCCTTAGGTGTTACTGTTGTTACCGTGTAGGAAAAGGGCATTGCTGATATGGACTGAAGTCATCAGGGAAGGCTTCTAAGAGAAGGTGGCCTGGAAGGATGAAAATCATTTGGCTGGCTGATGGGAGCAGGGCCAGGGAGGAAGGACATTTGTAGTAGGATGAGGGCAGGAGTGGAGGCCCCGAGATGTGTGGGCACCAGCAAGGAGACCACTTAAACCTGCCTCCCCTAAGGTACTGTTTGCAGCTTGCACCGTGCCGGAGAATTGTAGGGAAAGAGCCAGGAGAACCACCGTACGTTTGTTGAACAGCAGGCCCACGGTTCCACAACAGGCCTCGTACTGGCAAGGAACTTCCGTCTTCCTCACAGCAGTTTTGTGAGGTCAGGACTATTTGCTCCATTTAACGTGACTCCTGGAGGCCTGATGACTTGACTGAGGTCACCCAGAGAGAACGTGGCGGAGCTAGGTTCTGAACTTGTGGCTCTCAGACTCTTGCTTGGTTTTACTTCACACAGACAGACTCATAGCAGTGAGACGAGGCCTGTTTGGTGAACAGGCAAGGCCCTTTTTTGTCTTGACTGTGTTTTGCCGTTTGAAGAAAATTTCCCTGACTGGAAGAGCCCCAAGATGTTTTTAGTCATCCCTGTTCTCTCTGTCTTGAGTGGCATTTTTAGGAACTTAAACCAACTGTTGCCTGGCACTGTTCTTTTTCCTGTTAGACTCATCTTGCCCAGAGGGCCTGAATTGATTCGGTGGTGAGGATAGCTAATGCTCGAATAGCACGGTGGAGTTTTCAGAATAACAGAGAGGTAATTTATTCCGTCTCCATTGCTCTTGGCAGCAGCCCTGTGGCTTCGTGAGGTCAAGCGTGAGTGTTTCACAGAAGAGGAAACTGAGTCTCTGAAAAGATAATGTCTTGCCTGCAGTTTCACAGCTCGTTGGAGGGGAGGTTCATTTTGGATCCAGATCTTTCATTGTACTCCATGCTCATTGACAGCCAAGCAGAGACACTTAAACTGTGTACAAAGCACTGGGGAGCTATAGAGGACTGAGGAGTGGGAGAGTCCCATCCAGCCGAAACTGAGAAGGGCCTGGGAGGTACTGGGCTGAGGCCCAAGTTGGCCAGTATTATCTTGGGCCCATTCTGAAGGGGGAACAACTCTTGCACCTGGCCATGGCCTCCTGGAGACCCACCAGGGGCCCAGCCAAGGCTGAAAGTGTTAGGAACCTCCCTTTGCTCACAGGGTACATAGTCTCAAACCCTTGGAACTAGAGAGGCCTGAAGTGTGTGGACTGAACTCAGTCCTACTAAAAATACCAGTACAGGAAAAGAGCAGAGGGTTTGAATCCGGTGGTTTTCAATATGAGTCCCAGCTTCGTCACCTATAAACAATGTAATCCTGGTCAAGTCTCTCCATCTCTCCAAGTCTTTGAAGTCCTTACGGAGCTCAGATGAGATTCTGCATCTGTAGGGACAGGGGCTGGCACTTTGGCAGGCATTTTCTAAAGGTAGCATTCGTTGTGGAAGTAAAGGTGGGCGGGTGTGACCCCTGAGAGGGCAGATGATGTGCTGTGAGTGACAGAGCTGGGCTTGGAGGCTGGGCCCGGAATCTGTGGATGAGGCCGGCACAGATTCATAGGAGATTGGGCTCCTGAGTTCAGTTCATTCACTCTCCAGCTTCGTGACCGTGATCCTGCCCCCTTTTTTCTCTAAGCCTTGGTTTTTCTGTCGAGGAGGAAAAGAACCTCCCTGAGTCCATTGGGGAGGTCATCATAAGCAGTTGATGTGGAACAGTGTTTCACGCCAGGTGCGTTCCTAGCGGGAGGGCCTGGTTGTTGGATGGCCGCTCGATCACTGCCAGTGCCTTCCCCCGAACGTCCCCCCATTCCCAGAAAGCCAAGCAAACGCACTTCCCTCAAGCCACCTTTTTCATAGAGAGCATCTTCAGGGCCATAGGTGAAAGCATCCGTTCTCGG